GATGTAGGTAGGTTTACACCACTCACACCACCATCTAGTGCAGGGAACCCACCTTCAAAATGTAGTTGAAAGCCTTCACAGAAGTTGGTGATAGACGACCACAGTTCAAGTTGAACACCCTGAACAGAAACTGTACTCAAGCATGAAACTACAAAGTACATCTTCACATCAGTCATCAGGAAAACATGGGAGACATTGAGCAACATCACTGAAGCATCGGGCGTGGAACAACACTGGAACTCATTGAAAGCTATATGGGTAGAGACCTACATAACTGTATTAGGAAGGAAGGAAGAAGAAGAAGCAAGACAAGGGATGGATCTCGACGGACACATGGGAGCTGATAGAGGAGGGAGAGGGAGAGGGAGGGGAAGAGGAAGATGGTGATGTTGAAGCAGAAGGTGGACCAATGCAGTGCAATGCAAGGATGAACGACGAAAGGAAGAACTGAGTACAACGTGTACAACACTACACTATACCACAGTACAGTACAGTACAGTACACTGGACAAAGAAGTGATGAAGAGTACATGGAAAGACAAAAGACTCCTCTGCAAGACATTAGCAAGTGAAGCAGAACAGGCTGCAGGTAGAAGAAACAGAGACCTGACAACACCAATTGAAGATGGTGAAGGAAACTTAGTTAGCAAGGAGGAGAAACAAAGGAAACGATGAGCTGACCACTTCAAAAAACTTTTGAATCGACCACCACGACCACCTGCAACGCGTCCAGAAATACCGCCAGCAACAGCGAAACTGCCAGTGAACACAGGCCCTCGGATGAAGGCATAAGTCCTGAATGCCATAAAACAGCTAAGATTTAGGAGACTTAAGTCTTTGGAGCAACTGGCGCGGAATCATGCTCCACCTGTGTCCACCTCAAACAAAATATCAGGCCGCATCATCCTGGAGAGACTAAAGGATGTGCTAGATTCAAAACTACGACCGGAACAGGCTGGCTGGATTCAGGAAGTATAAATCATGTGCGGACCAAATTGCAACGCTTCGCACCATCTCATCATAGAACAGAGCATAGAATGGCAGTCAACCCTCTAACTTGACTTCACTGACATTGAAAAAGCCTTTGACAGCGTCGACCGAGAAGTAATTTGGCAGCTGCTGCCTCAGCACCACGGAGTGCCACAAACTTTTTCAAACTCGTTCAACGGCTATATGAAGATGCTACATTGCTAGGTGATCCACAATGGAGAGCTCAGTGACGATATTGAAGCGAAAACAGGAGTAAGACAAGGCTGCCACCTACTGTCACCGATCATCTTCCTGATTGTGGCTGACTGGATCATGTAGCAAACCGTGAGGAGCGAGAAGATGGGCATACGCTGGCTGAACTGATGAAAAGACCCTAGAAGAAGATTGAGATTTCGCCGATGATGATTTATGTTTTACGTCTTGTCGCACAAACTCGAAGACTTACATGCAAAAGCTAACAAGTTGGCAGAAGAGGCAGCGAAGGGAGACAGGACTTCCTCCAGGTGAACGTAGAGAAGACAGAGGGGATGAAAATACGTAACCAACAACAGCATCAACAACAAGCACCAATCACCATCAACGGAAGAAACCTGAAGGAAGTAGTCTCTTTCACCTAACTAGGCAGCATCGTTTCAACTACAGGCTGCACAGAAGAGGATGTCAAAACCAGGATAGGAAAGACAGCAAGACAGGCATTCCTTCACTTACCGGAAATCATTGTGGAAATCTACTGCACTCAGCACAAAGAACAAGATCTGGATTTTCAACACCAATGTCAAGTCAGTGCTGCTATATCGTTCAGAAACTTGGCGCATCACGAAAAGCATTTCCGACAGACTACAGACATTCATCAACAACTGCCTACGGTCGATACTGAAGATCATATCAGATGGCCAGAATAATAGGAATAAGCAACAAGGAACTCTGGCCTGCTAACAAACTATCCAAGAACCTATTACCCAACAAATATGCAGAAGAAGAAAGTGGAGATGGATTGCGCATTCACTGAGAAGGCCGACTGGGGACATCACGCGCCAGGCCCTCGAGTGGAATCAAAAGGAAAGCTACAAGTTAGACGTCCCAGGCGTGGGTGACATAGAGGAGATCGTGTGAGGAAGAAATGAAAGCTTGTGGGGAGTGGTGGGAGCCAGGTTGAAAGGACTGCAGAGAGTGGAGTGCAATGGAGGCGTGCTACTGAGGCCCTATGTTCCACTAGGAACCCAAGGGAAAAATAATAATATTAACTTGTCAACAAATTGAAGTGATTAACTCATCTGACCACTTAACTCGCCGTCCTTAAACTATAAGTCTGTGTAGTCCGATGTTGAAGCATCATTTTACATTGGATGGTTGCGAAGTCCATATAAGACATACCTGTTAGCAGGGCGTATTTGCAGTGACTGATGTGAAACTTAGATCAAGTTTTTCACTAGAACTAACCGGAAGGACATTGGTAGCCGACAAAAGTTCAACACATACAAAAGACTTGTTTATTATTTAACCAATGACTGCTGTGATACTAACTTGATATTTGAGTAATTATCAAAGACCGAATGTACTGCGTAACAATATAAGATTGTAAAACATAGCGACAACAGTGGAAGGTGTGTGCAGGTCACAAGCATTTGACTACTAGGGATTTAGAAAATCCTTTATATGTAGTGGAATCACTGTGTGAGAATCGCAGTTTTCAGACGCAAGGTATTTAGAAGACTAGATAGGCATATTGATAAGGTTATGAAACTTCTGTTGCTCCCATTAGATTATTTAAAAATTGTATAGCAACATCTATCAAGTAAAGAGTATGACTTACCACTATTCAATTGGGTTATTAGCAATATTTCCATTTAAAACCACTTAATTAACAAAAAGGTATTCAACTCCATCGATCAACGTGATTTGAGAGCCATTCGACTGTGATAAGAACTCTGGAAAGATATGTCATGCTAACCAAGTCAGTCTGCTCAAACTCATGCAGCCGTATAAGAGCTTAAACATAGTTGTCACATAAAGTGATGATAACCGGTGTAGAGAAGTTCACTATCACTACTATCATATAAATTTACCACAGACGTATTGATGAATGTGACTGTACGTACCCCTGGCTTCTTATTGACTGACTAACTTAGTGTGCAGATGACAAAGTCCTGTTAGGTGAAGATACAGGTAGGTTCATCCGAACATAGTCAAACGAATGATGCTGCTGTACGTCTTGACTGCACTGAACCCCAGATTAAGAATAAAAAATAAAGTGGTAGAATGTGTTAACTATTTCCATTCGGGTCATTCCTGATCTTGTGATAGCTGGTTACAAAATCTGTATTCAGTTTGAAGGTTTGTGAGTATTTGTTTATTGGTTTCAGATGGGTGCGTGCTGCTGAGGAGTCCCATACTAAGACGAAACAGCTGTTCAGTGCTCCCGGGTTTCCAATGTTTCTTCAGCTGATGCCAATCCATGATGAATACCAGTCTGAAATCAACAGTGTGTACTTGCCGAATCACTCCATCTCTGATGCAGGTGAGATATCCGACTACATATTTTTTTAAAAATATGTATATTGTGCAGCGGCTCACTCTGTCCTACTCTGTAATTATCAGATTACCACTCAAGGTGATAGGAATATCCAAAGTCAAATATTTTTGAGAATAAGTGCTGTTTTCGTAGTATTAGTCGCTTGTAATGGGAGCGAGATCCCAGCAATATAGCAATTAGGCGTTAAATATTAGGGAAGGGAGGTATATCAATCGAACCTTCACTAAACGAAGGCGCTGAGCTATCTGTTACGCACTCCGATGCACCAATTATTTAGATGCACGACACTAACAGAAGAAGGATTAGTTTGGAAGAGAGCGGAAGGTGCGCAGACCAAAACATGAAAACAAACCATGAAGTCTATAACTACTGGTCTGAACAATACGGCGTATTATAAATTGCCTTATCAACGTCCTTAAGATAATGGACATCATGGGTAATGGAGACTCATGGTTACATCTATTAATGATGGATAGTGGCTAGCAGTGACTCGGTGGTCTAGCGGATTACGCTCTGGCATTTGAAGAGATCCGTCTAGGGTACGAGTCCCAGTGCGAACAACATGGCTCACTTGGACGCAGGTACATTCAGCTGACGAGCCCCAAACAGGACGGAATGCGCATCATAAATTCCAATGCTATCCCACTATCTATCATTCGTATAAAACTGAAACAGAAGCACTGTCAAGGCATTCGCGCAGCAGCACATATGCCAATATACACCGATCACTTCGGTCAAATCAACGATGGGATAATACAAGTGACAACATCATGGTTACATCATTCAAAATCAGTCACAGTGGTGAACATGTATATACACTATTAGGCATCTTCAGGAATTTGAACACATCTTCTCTTCTCTAATAGACTGTGCCCAGTTTCACTTAATTCTTCTTCTACTCACTTTCTCTTTCTATACTGTCGTGAAGTATGGATACTGAAAGTTATTCACTTGTATCGAAGGTTCTACACTGATTTGTCTATCTCTATATATGACTAAGAAAACACGATCTTTTTCACGTAGAAGTATTATAGAGGGTTGATGTTAAATACATTTTATTGACTATAATGTGAAATATTGTGATGATTTACTTGGTTGTGGCTAGCAAAGGAATTCAGGACATGCGTTTCGTCCTATTTGGAACTCTTCAGCTGGATGTAACTGTTTTGGCGTTTGAAGCGATAGGCACGAGGTTTTAATCTCGGTGGGAACAACATCACTCCACACTGGGGTACAGGTATATCCAACTAACCAGTGAGTCACAAGTAGAATGGGACGCACATCCTGGATTCCTCTCCTAGTCACAACCAACTAAATTACCATAACTGACATTCAAACAATATCCAGGCATCCTCATAGAAACCCATATATCAATAGAGGTTGAGCAATTCGATCTAATAAGACAATGGAGAATTACAAGTATACCAATAAATAGTAATATCATGTGAAATGTTAGTCAGTAGAAATATACTACTTACTCGACATATATCTTGCATTAGTGAAAATTTAAACATCCAATCTAATTTGATTTGTTCATTTTCCAAGACATCTTGAAGACTTCCTTTTGGGCAATATTCATAAACTATACATTGATGTGGTATTTCTAAGCAGACACCAATTAATCGACAGATATGATCACAATTCAAATCTTTAACCTATTTATTTATTTGTTTAAAAAAAAGATGGAATGAAGATAAAGGTAAAGAATAATCAGTTAATTGATCAATTAAACATTCAACAGGCGAATAAATCGTCTTTCTCAGCAATGGTTCTATGTCAACAAATAATCTAGTATGATATATTTAATTATCTTTAAAATGCCTATTGTACAATTTCTTTGTATAATGAAATCATCTTTAATTAAATAAGCGGAACTATAATAATATGACTTAAAACTTATATGCTAACGTTCTTGGTGAGTTTACTGAACATCTGGAATTCACGATACTATGGTAAGTTTTTGTGATCGAATTTCATATATTTGTTTCGTTCACATTTCTTTGAGACTTAATGTCTTATAGAAAACTATGAATCATTAAACTATGACCCACTGACTGAATGGTAAACACGTTCGCTTTGAGATATGAAGGTCCTGAATTCGATTTCTGGTGGTATCACGTGTGCACGCTTCTGATGAATCTTACACTAGGATGAAATAGCTGTAAAGTGTTCCCAGGCTTCCAGTGACCCTGTAAGTAATATCAATCCATGATGAATACAACCTTGAAATAAATAAAATCCCCATAAACCTCAAGGTATATATCAATTAAGTTAAACCTCAATAAAGTCCTGGAAAAGAAGCGATATCAAAACATACAGTAGGTTTTTCCCCATTGTAATTCAAGTCTCCTTAACATAGCGCACGTTCGAGCCCTTTTGATGACTGAAATGAGGATTGTCATATTTCACCACTAAGGATGATGCCAGGATGTAATACTATCAACTGTTTACATAAACATAACAGACATGTCAATATTTATGATACTTGTATTTTCCCGTTGCTATACACAGTGAAATTGATGAACCTTTGTTGGGAGATGAGCTCCAGTGAGGATGCCTTGATGATGCCGGATAGCTATGACGTTATACTGATCTTAGTGATTAGCAGAGGAATTCAGGATGCGCGTTTCTTCGTACTCGGGACTCTTCAACTGGATGTACCTGAACCCCGGTAAGGAGTGATTTTGTTCCCACTGAGACTTGAACCTAGTATCCATTGCTTCAAATGCCAGAGCGTTATCCATTATCCTGCGTTTCTCTTCTAATCACCAAGATCAGCATGATGTCAATATTTATTCACAACTACTTAAAACAAGCTCTTATTAACTTTACAAAACTGCAATAATCTATTTTTTTTGATATATGGGTTTTTGGAATGAATACCTAGGTTCAAGACTTCTTACCGGCTATCTCTAACAAAATAATAACCTTATATTGCTCTGAATTTCATTTTTAAAATAAATTATTGGATAGAATAGCAGAATAGTAGCAAAAAATGAATGATAAACTGGAAAAAATATTCTGAAAATAAGTTAAGATAGAACTTGCCTTTTTAACTTCAATTGATAATGCTTTAGATGGTTCAATTCGTGTTTGCCTGCGTAATGGTTTCAAAGCGACAATACTTTTCATATAAAATGCTGTACGTGCAAACATTTGTGAGTTAGCTAATTTATCCAATTGTATACCCGATATTGTGTCTAATGAACCCAAACTGGACTGTGAATCCTGTGAATGCTATATTCATTAAGTAATGTAAATATGAATAAAAATTTATAAAGGTGAACGGGAGTTAAAATGAATTTTTTAAACATATAGAATGATCACTTTGTAGATGAATTTACAAATTGCACGCTTCACGTTGACATTTCTCACAGCTGAGTAACTTTTCAACTACCTTAATGTGATGCCAGTCAACAGAATTTCTCATGATCCTTGGCGGGGTCATGAGTGTTCACTGCTGAGAAGTTTCATATTAGGACGAAACAGACGTCCATTGCTCTCAAGTTTCCAATGTTCCTCCAACTGATTTCGGTCTATGATGAATACCAACTTGAAAAACAGGGTTTCCGTTGGAAACCATGCAGCCAAAATCAAAAAGTGTGATCTCTGACATAAAACTATCATGAACTAATGAGAAACTTGAGTAGTTATAAACCCTGTATGGTTATTTATAGATTTCGTCAGCCAGATCAAAGTGATCTAAACACCGGATGACTGTTTCAGTCGTTTGGAACCAACCTCATCATCGGTGTATTCGGGCGAATTCAGTTGACAGAGCTAAACTGGTCAGCATTATGCATCGTCAGTTCACTCCAAAGATCCTACTTGACTGAATGCTTTTCAACGGAAAGTCTGTAGATGTTACAGTTGGGCAGCTGGAATCCTAATTAACTGCGACAAATGTCGATATGAACCATGAAACTTCAAAGATAATCCATTTTCCACTAATTTTTCAGTTAGCATTTTCATGTCACCATCCGTTGAGTCTTCAATAAAACGATTGATTTACCGGAAACTTACTTGAAAGGAGTAATATTTGAGTTTCCATAGTTTTTTCCAAAGGTTTGATAAAGTGCTTAGTTAAAAGGATCCAGTGTACTCAAATGGAAGATTCAGTTGATGATAAGATTCAAATACTAACTGAAACACTGGTGTAAAATCGATATCCATTGAAGATTAAAAAAATGTTTAACAAATTAGTCAATTATGAAACTCATTCTGTATTCTCCTGTGAACCAATGTGTTTATATAACACTAGCATACAGAAAGGAATCCTTTAGAATGTATGTTTAAAAGCGAAGGCTAAGGTCTACCATCAGCTACAGGTTTATTGTAGTTGAGAAAGAAGAAAATAACCTTATGGAAAGTTGTACGTTAGAAGAAAAAGAGAATATAAAATGATGTCATAGGATGTTATAATTTAGATGAAAAGAAGGTGCGAATCTTTATAACTATCAAAAATGAATTACAAACTAATGTTCATTGATGTCCTTCAACTAAGTAGCAGGTTCTCAGAATTCTATTTTCCTAAAAGGTCAAAACTTATGTAATGAAATAAGTAATTAAATTAAATATTTAAGGCATGTTTCGAAACTTAACGAAATAGATTACCAGTATATTATATTCACCTTGGTGACTAGCAGTGGAGTTCAAGATACGCGATTCGTCTTATCTAGGACTCGTCAGCTGGATGTACCTCCACCCCAATGCATAGTGATGTAGTTCCAACTAAGACTGAAACCCAGTACACTCATTGCTTCAAACTCCAAGGCGTTATCCACTAGGCCACTGAGGCATGATAGCCACCTCTTGTGCAACGGGTATCAGTTATTGTTTGTTGATATTTGTAAAGGGCTGAATTGCTCGAATTCTGTTGGTGGATGGGCTCCTATACGGATGCCTCGATACTGACGGATAGTCATGGTAATGTAGTATTCGTCACAGACTGACATTAGTTGGAGAACCGTTGGAAACATAAGATCATTGGACGGTTGTTTCATCTTAGTATGGGACTCTTCAGCGGTATCCACTCAAGACCCCGCCCCTCCAGGGGTTGAACCCATGGCTTTTAAGTTCCATGGTCAGCATGTTACCATTGAGCCACTAGGACATAACTTAATGGTCCATATTTCTTAATTCTGTCAGTTCTCAAAATCCGCTTAACAACGATGGGAACTGTTCACCTATTATTAGTTACAGTACAAAGCCATTTATACTGCGCAGGTAACCAACTATAAGCAATTTTATAATTTGAACTGCGATTACCAATTATCAGCTAACAGTATGAACTCAAGTTGTTCAGAAAAAAAGCAAACGAAGTTACATTTGAATTTACAATCCAACCAATTACATCTATAGAACAAAAATTCATGTGAAAACATATTACTGAGAAGAGGAGCTTGATCTGAACGACCTCCTCAACACTTTCAAAACTCCAAATTCATGTATAAAATCCATTCTACATTGTGAAACAAATTTGATGTTACCATTCCTAAATGTACTGCTAACAAGATCAAGAGATAATTCTATTCACAGATCAGTGTATAGAAAGCCAGCATGGATTGGTCAGTAGATCATCTTTAGAAGCTATACCCCTCTCATTAGGAAACAGAACCTTGTGGGTTCTTTATGTTAAAAAATTCGCGAGACGTGTTCTGAAGATTCACTAGATAGTGAGCTAAGACTTCTATATAACATACGACTGGAAAACGGCTATTCACCTAGATTCATCTCCTCAAACATGAAGAAAAAGCTAGAAATACAAAAAGTACCAACCGTCTCAGAGAAAACTCTGCATGGATCTGGAATTCAAAAGCGATATTACAGCTGAAATTGTCAAAAATAATCTCTTAAGATCTTTGAAGAAGACATTTTATGTGGCTAGCTTGAGAACCACAGTCTGCAGTAGACAATTATTCTATCAATGACTTAAGTATGGAATAACGGTTTTGGTAACCTGAATGTATATCTATCAGTCTACTTATCTGTGTAGAGAAAAGTACATTGCTTGTACACAGCTTTGAGTTCGTAAGCGTGTTTTGGAGCATCCTTTAGTTTGGTTATTTAATATTTGTATCCTTGAACATCTTGTCATCTGCAGATGCTTCGTAGTAAATCCTTCAAAGTAATTTATAGAGTTATTACTATTTATTGATATACTTGTAATTCTCCTTTGTCTTATCGAATTGTTCAACCTCTATTGAAATATGGGTTCCTATAAGGATGCCTGGATATTGTTTGAATTTCAATTATGGTAATTTAGTTGGCTGTGACTAGGAGAGGAATCCAGGATGTGCGTCCCATCTTACTTGTGACTCACTGGTTAGTTGGATATACCTGTACCCCAGTGTGGAGTGATGTTGTTCCCATCGAGACTCAAACCTCGTACCCATCGCTTCAAACACCAAGGCATTATCGACTATGCTATGGAGGAACGATAGCCAATTTTTGTACAACGGGTAGTAGTTAGTACGATTTAGTGGCATTTGAAGCGATGTGGATGAAGTTCGAGTCTCAGTGGAAACAACATAACTCACTGGGGTGCAGGTACATCCAGCTGACTAGTGAGTCGGAAGTAGGACGGAATGCGCGTCCTGAATTCCTTTGCTAGCCATAACCAACTAAATTACGATGCTAATCACATGTCCCTATTGTTGAATGATAGATTAATTTGTTTTCAGTGATTTTACAAACGATTGTACAGTTTTAGTAAGCGAAGTCTTTGAAAAGAAAATTTTCTTCGCTGTTAAGTCTTCGTTCTATTACTTCTTATGGGGACTTTCTATTCATTGTGATAAACCGTAGGGAAAATTTATCAACCGCTCAAAATTAAAGCACAGTATTAAGTTCACACCCTCCACAGAAATGCAGTAACATGATTTCTTTAAGACTATAAACACAGGAATTATACTATTCCCCACCAAAACTTGTCCCCGGGAGGTTGTTGGCTCGAGTCCCAAGGTGGCCTAGATTTCTATTTCACCTTCTTCAACTGCCATCCAGTATAAGTTAAAATATATTTCAGTAATGATTTCTTTTTTAAAAAAAAAAACACTTACCTCCTACTAAATTGGACATATACCCTGACAGTTGAAAGTAATTTATTTCTTATCCATTTTTGGTTAAGGAACAAAGAAAAAATCAATTCTTCACTTAATTGTCAGAATACTCCAATCTTTAAGCTTTCACTTCCAATCTCAATCAGTTAGATAGACATACACAAACACACAAGTAAATGAATATAACTTATACGTTTTTAGTATTCTAGTATTATATATATGCAGAATGAAGCAGTTTAGAAAAATCCTTTTTAAACTATTTCGACTTAATAGAAAAATATATGTAATTTTCTTTTTTTCATGGTTGCTTTTTTCTTTCAGACAGTTTTGTTATTTTGTAATTCTTGAACGGAAGTTATCAGATTACTTCCTTTTTTTTATCAAAGAAAGAGTAGAATGAGTCAATTTTTCCGCATACCAATGAATAATCAGTAATTCATACCGACAAATTGACAATTGATAGTTGAAATATCAATGAGTGATCATTGGTATGTTTATTTCCTGATAATAAATGGTGTTTAGTTAGGCTAAAATATTTAAATTTACACATCTATATTATGTTGAACTGAACAATACTGTTAGGGGAACAATAGAAAGCGGTATAACATAAAGGATCAAAGGAGAGCTAAGGGATGGATGATATTTTATACACACCAATGACTGACTGTACATGATGAGTTTTTTTTAAAACAATTTACAAAATTTATTTTTCAATTTGAAGTGTGATTTTAAATTGTATACCCTTTACGAAAATCCAAAAGACTATTCCAGTTTTAAATGATAATTGCTAAATAGAATCATTTACGAAATGCAATTTGCATGGATTTAATTTGGAAGTTTGTGGGGATTTGATTGGCTGAAGCTCTGTGTTCGAGCCCTGCGGCGTTAATGGGTGTATACTGCTAAGAAATCTTAAACTAGGGTTCTCCTCCACGATGAATACCAACTTACTGAGGTTGCTGTTGATAGAATGAATAGTAAATGCTTTTCCCGCCTAGGTTAATGATTTTAACAGTATTACATTCTCCGAACTGTCTAACCTTACTCTTCAATTCTACACAGCATTATCGACCCACAATGATGGAAAACGTCGTTTTAAAAGGATGTTTTTATTTCTTTTTTTGGATACAGAAGTGAACTACTGCATACGATGTTCATTCTCTACACGTTACAATG